CGTTCCCGATCCCGGGGGTCGGGATGGGGGAGCAGCCGCTGTTCCTCGAGGGGCAGCCCCCCGACTTCTCGCTGCTCCAGCGCCTGCTCTGCCTCGAGCCCGAGCCCTGCGACCCCCCCGCGCTCCTCCCGCCGCCCCCCGGACCCGGCGGGGCCGCGACCCCCCGAGACCCCCCCAGGTGGGAACCGGGAACGGGGGAACCGGGGGAGCTGGGGGGGGGATTGGGGGTCCCGGGACAGGGGGTGGTCCCACCCTGGGGGGCTGGAATTGGGGGTCCCGGGACACGGGGTGGTCCCACCGGGGAGGGAACGGGGGGTACCAGGACCCCGCTCCTGTCCCGGGAACCGGGAATGGTCCGACCGGGAGGGAATGGGGAGCACCGGGGGGAAGGACCGGGATGACCGGGACTGGTCCCACCGGGAAGGAACCGGGACCCCCGGGATGGCCCCGGGAAGGGGGGGGTGTCCCCACCTCCCCCCCGTTCCCTGACGGCGTCCCCCGGTCAGGGCGGGGGTCCCGGAGCCCCCCCCGCGGCCCCGGAGCCCCCCGGGGGAGGGTCTCACGTTCCTGCAGGAGTCGGTGCGGCTGCTGAGCCCCCCCGAGCCCCCCCCGGCCGCTCCCGCCGCACCCCCCGACACCCCGGGGGTCCCCACGGCGCCCACCGGGACCCCCGAGGCGCTGAGTCTGATCAGCCTCCAGTGCCGGCACCTGGACGGCGGGACCGGGACCGGGATCGGGATCCACAGCGGGATCGGGACCGGGATCGGGATCCACAGCGGGATCAACACCGGGATCGGCACCGAGATCGGCACTGGGATCGGGATCGGGATCCACACCGGGACCAGGAACGGGATCGACACCGGCACCAGTGACGGGACTGGGACAGGCAGCGGGATCAGCCCCGGGACCAGTAACGGCACCGGGAGTGATACCGGGACCAGGAGCAGCACCGGGATCGACACTGGGACCAGTAACGGCACCGGGATCGACACCAGGATCGACACTGGGACCAGTAACGGCACCGGGATCGACA